TTGTTTTGAATAAGTATTCTTGGGAGATAATTCATTGTAATGGGGATGAACAAGTAAGATATCATTCCAAGTTGTTTGGAATAGGGATGTGCATATGTACTGAGTATTCGGTTAACCATTCAAGCTGCCAGTATTCCAAGCATGTGTTGTTAAGGATGTGATAGAGAAGGTAGAAATTGTGCAGCTTTTTTGCTGACTAGGCTAACTAATCTAGCTGATGTAGGCTTGGTCCAGAAACATTGAAAATATATTCTGTAGACAGACTAACATTTTGGTGCGTTGTCGTCTGAGGTGAATACACCTTGTGTAGGATGACGAGTCCTCATCAGCAGTCAGTGTTGTACCAGTTAACTGTGTGTGGTTTAGCGCCCATCTGAAGAGGCAGCCTCCATTACTTATCAAAACTAATAATAAAATAATAAAATGTTTTTAAATGATTCCTCTGCTTCCTGGTGGTTAACCAGATAAGTGTTCATTAACTCCTGCAGATACGTGAATATTAAAATTCGTCGGAATGCATATTCCTAGTTTGGAAACGATCCACTGATTCTGATGAGGTCTTTTTTCCTGTAACCAGACATTTACTATTTAAAAACTGGAATAAAATTCCTGAAAAGAACCATTTTGCTCACAAATCACGAAACATTTTTGCTCTTGCAGTATAATTTAAAATGTCTCTGACTATAATTACCTCCATGAAGCATTTGTAACATTGGTCTCAGATCACTCAGCAGGAACCCAGTTTTTGCATTATTACAGTATCTGAGTGCATGATCAACAGAGCTTTCCTTTGTGTTTGAATTCAAAAATCTAATTGCACTCTGACTCTGCAGTTTCCTGAAGCATCTTTGCCTATAGTATAATGAAGCCGTGTGAAGCTGTACAGGACAAAAATAGCTTATTTATTTGTTTGTTTGTTTATTTATTTATTTGTACATGTATCTATAAATGTATACAAACAGCAGAGCTTAATCATCCCTGGCCAACAAACCATGTGTGAAAACAGCCTCAAAATAACATACATGTCTGTATGTGTTGTGTTAACATCTTCTAGTGCATGTGTGTGTGTGTGTGTGTGTGTGTGTGTGTGTGTGTGTGTGTGTCTGTCTGTCTGTCTGTCTGTGTGTTGTGTTGTCCATTTCTGCAGGGCTGATGTGTAAAATGGGGATTCAGAAGTCTGGATTTGTCTGGACTTCTTTCACCTTGGCCGTTATCCATTAACTATGTGTATTCTTTGTTGTTTTATTAAGTGTCTGTGGCCCCTACCTTGCTGTAAAGCTATAGTGCTCACCTTCAGTTCTTGCTCAGTCAGCTACAGCAGTCTTAAGCCATGGTCACATCGAACGCAAGTAAAAATTAGGGCTGGCCTGAACAGCATTTTACAGGCTTGAAATACTCCTTCAGAAACACCACTTCATTCTCACTACTACTGTTATAAACAGTACTACTTACATTTCATAATTAACCATTATTCTAAGTATGCTTTTTCATTTTTTAAACAATGTTCCAGTTTTTGATTTGTAGCAAATGGTACACATTTATACATTGATCTTTTTACAGTGAACATCTCAAAGATGCTGTGAGACAGGTGTGCCATAGTGTTATGTCAGATAAAGAGACAGATGCCTGATTGGATTGGATTTCTTCAAGTCATTTGAGTCATAAATCTTTTTATGGTTTTAGTTTAGCTATTTTATGATCTGTCTTCAAAGAAACTGGGTGACATTTCAGGTATTCCTTTTCTAAAATTCAAGTGGAGTGTAAAGGGGTAAACGAAGAATACTAAATGAGGAAACGGGGGGTTGGGGGAGGACAAAATGAACAAATACTTGATTTAGTAAAATTATTCAAAACAGCCCTAAAGTATTACCTTATCATAAAGCCAGTTTAATACCTGATGATCAGGTAAAGACATAGAAATGCGACAAAGTCCATCAGTAGTGGTTCATTTAGCTTTGCGCAGAGTTCATCCAGGTGAACATTATCCAGGATTAACCCTGCAAATTTGCAAACCCTGAAAGCATGAGCCAAACAAGAGAGTAAGCTATGGTGTCTTCTTTTTTTCAAGATAGTTCCTCCATTTGTTTCTGCTCCTTAGTCATCATTATGCCATTTATTACTCGTAATAGCAAATAACCAAAAAAATAATAATAATAATGGTGGCATGTTTGTCCAAAACCATATCACAACCTGTCTGATTTTTGCTCAAGCTCAGCAGCTCACCAGCATGGCAGCAGTCCAGTGTGACTGCAGTTTTACACTACAGATTTCACAAGCTTCTTTGTTACATTGATTCTTGCTTTACTTTGTCTTTCAGATGATGAAGACCGTGAAGTTCCAGGAGATCGTGCTGTGGACTATGGAAAAAGACGCCAACCCGTCGACATCCTGTAGCCTGATCATCAGGACAAATCAAATTGTGCTTAATAATGCATTCAATATTCACGTGGCCAAGAGAGGAAGAGGAGAGAAGTTACTTGAACTAGAGTCTGATGGGTACGATTGGAGCCATTCCTTCAACTACTTGAAGATCTTTTCTTGACCTGAATGACATTTGAAAAAGTAAAGCCTGCAGGGTTTAAGTCTTGCTGGATGGATGATGGTTTCGGTCAACTTTAAAGGAAGGATTTGACGTGATTCAATCCAGTCTTGTTTGGTTCTTCCTCTAAAACCTTTAGGAATAAACCGAATGAACTGATAAATGATCATTCATAATGTGTAAATGTGTATACATCTAATATGTACATTGGAAAGTCCTTTTTTCTGTTATACGAAACATGGGATGTTTTGGGTTATTTGTTTTCTTAATGAAGTAGCCTGTGCTTGGACTATGGATTGGACTTTGAATGGAAGAAGATGGCCTTTGGTGTGACTTTTGCCAGACCAGGCACATGAGCAAGACGGATTCCTGGACTGCTGCCATGTTGGTAGTACTAAAGAAGGTTCAGCCTGCACCAGAGCAATGTCATGATGAAGAAGAACGTTAGATTATTATTTAATTATTTTTCTCTTTTTGGATGGGCTGTTGTTGAATAGCAATTACCAAGGGAATGGGGATTTTTTTAATAACAAACAAAACTTCTTTATGATTTCTACAGTACCCGGTACCCTACAGACTCAATTGTACACAAGCTGTTTTTACGCTGTATTCCTGTTTCTGAAGGATCTCTACAGAGTACAGAACCCGGCCTTGTGAGGGCATTGTTGCATGCAAGTAGTTGGCGGTTCCGTTACATCAACCTAGAGAACTGCAGTATCACCGGGATTAAAAAATAGCAATACACTATACTGCAGCAGACCAAGGTGGAGTTCACATGGTGAACTATTTCCTGACCGCCTGACAGGCATCGGTGTACATACTTGGCGCCAATACTACTGTCTGACTGCTGTAGAAATATTGAACTGGCCTGTAGATCTTGGGCATAGAATTTTAACTTGTTTGTGAACTTTTTCATAAGTGAGCAACACTTGATTGGAGATTAGCATACTGAATGTACTTTAATAACAATATGATTGTTTAAAGTGTCCCAGGTGGATCTGGATCTTCTAAACTGTAATGAATTGTGTAAACGCGCAGTTCTGTTCAAACTTAACAAAGGTATGCCAAACAGATTGTTCCATATTTCCAAAGAATGGAGCTGTATTAGATGGTAAATTTCTTGCTATCACTGTGACTCAGTAGTACTGTACATAGTTGCATCAGGATGAAGTACAATATGGTCCAGAAATCGCCCAGATTCCTCATCTCAAACTTCTCTACAAACGTAATGAAAGGTAACCTACAATAAACTGTTTCTGTATATGACTCCGGTCACTATTTGCTTTTTTTTTTGGTGGGGGGGGGTTAAAAAGATGGTATTTCCATTTTCCCCTTTTTGTTGTATTTTTTATTTTTTTTATTTATTTATTTATTTTTTTTAAGATTAATAAGCAGGGTTGTGGTATAAGCTGTAAACTAGGGCCCCCAAATAATGAGAGCCCTTTGGGCATGTCCTTGTTAGCGTTTGTTAGTCATGATACTGGTAGATATACATCTAAAGAAGACGTCACTTTTTTAGTGAAGACATAACATTTTTTTTTAAAAATCATGACAAACTATACGAATATTATAAATAGGTATTTTTATTCAGTTATTTTTATATTATTATTATTGTTGTTGAACATTTAAGTTGTTGAAAGACACTCTCCATTCCCCCAACTGCTGTAAGATGCCTAAGTCAAAGTCAAGCATTCATTACACTTATTCCCTGATTAAAATGAATGAAGCATTTTCCATTGTTGCGTGCATAATAATATGATTATTAGTTGGATATTGCTTGGGGCCCCCCAGATGCTCAGAAATGGCCCTTTTAAGGATCAACCATCCAAGGAACAAGAGGATGCCCTATTGTGAAAGTAATTTTGTTCCCCCAGCCACCCATAGCATAGTTACGTAATAAGATTATTACCATTAGGAACCCCCCCACCCCCCCACACCCCCACACCCCGTGATTTTCTGTAGTAAACATGAACAATTGAAATTCGCCTCCTTCATTCACTACCAGTACACAGCCAAGCTTTCCTAAACCGAGCATTGCCATGACGACCGAGACGTGTCCCCCCCCTCTTCCTCACTGCAGCTCCGCCGTGTCATTTCTATTTTTGTTGTGTGTGTGTCACGGTGAAAGAGAACATTTTCTCAAACCGCTGTGTAAAAGCTTTAAATCATATTTTGCACAGACTTTGCTTTCAGACGTTTATATTTAAGAGAGACGTACAAAGACAACAGTTAATGTTAATGTAAATCGCGTAAATGTATTTCTTTTAGATATAACGTTACAGTGCCTAAATGCATATGTCTTGTAGTAACATGTACGTTACATGTGTTAAAATGTGATATTTGTAAATGTTTTAATTTGAAGCCGGGTGGTCTTGCGCTGAGCTAATATCGGCTACTGTTTTGCTGATAAAAAACATGAAGGGGGTGTGGGGGTCTGAGCGGGTGAGCGCATGCGTTGATCGCTGTTGCATCCGGGTATTCTGTGGCTGAGTGTGTGGGTTAAGGAGGCGGGAAATGGCGACCAGAGGCGCAGCGCCGAGTGGCATCAAACTGATTTGAAAACGATAACAAAAAAACACGGGAGGCCAGGGACAGCGGCTCCCCCCCGCAACAGCCACCGAGATCCGGCCCTTAACAAAGCGGCTCGCTTTCGTGGTTCCCGACGGCGGTGTTTGGTGAGTTTGTCGCTGTGTTCCTTGTGTGTGTTGTTGGCATGTGGCTCGTGTAGCGATGAAGTTCGATGCAGTTTATCGAGTCGGTTCCCTAGAGCAGTCCGTTTCGGTGAACCGAGTCATATTCAACGATTCACTAATTCACTGCTCAAGTCGACATTTTAGTGTTCGCCGTATATAATTTGTTAGTAATTCATCTTTAACATTATTATTTTCTAACTATGCTATGACAGTGACTGAGTGATGTCGCTAACCTTGCTACTATTAAATCAGGAATATAAAAACCATGGCACATAAGAGTACAGATGACCAGATACAGTTTAGCACACAAATGTTAGCTATTTCTGAGGTCTTGACTGTTTTAATATTATCGTATGCTGTTTTAAGAGTTTAAAATGTTATTCGAGTTTTGTCAGAAGTGTCCACTGGCGTTAACATTGTGCACATCATACAAAAAAAAGTTTGATTCAATTGAACGTGAATCATTTCGACCGATTCATTGAAAGGAACCGGTTCAAAAGAGCAATTCGTTCACGAGTAGGACATTGCTTTACTGAAGGCAGTAACGGTAACCGGGCTGAGCTGCTCAGACAGGGTAAGTTCTGGGTCGTGTAGCTGTAGTTTCATAGATAACGCTTCACCTACTCTGTCTACACGTTAGCCAGCTAGCTAGCTAGCTAGCAAGCTAACGACTGTTGCTACCCGGTGCGGCCCTCTCAAAATCTTTGCGCCCGCCCAGAGGAACAGGACATAGTCAGCCAGCCCCGCTGTGCTAGGGAGAAAATGGTAAGAGTGACTGTTACCATATTTGTTGGCTGTACTTGGAACCTTAGTCTTCTTTTACGGGTGATGTTAAATTGAACGCAGGAGACTCAAGTTGTTCACCAGAGCTGTCTGTAGGACCAGTGGTTGCGTTAGCAAGTAGTTTGTAAGCCAGTAAACAGCTACGAAACAGATTGCGGGCAAACTGTGCATATTTTAGGAGCTAGCTGGTTAGGTCTGCTCAGTGTCTTGGCTGGCTGAAGTAAGCTACGTTCACGAGCCTGAATCGTGTTAAAGTTGTATATTTGTAGCGAGCTAGTCAACAAGTGCTGTATCAGTAATGAAAGGAACATGCCCGTAGAGAATTGGTTAAATGTAGTTCGTAGCTAATGTAGCTAGTTAATTAAGTCGTGTGCAGGCAGCATGTCTTTCTAACGTGTTAGGGCCCCCTGAACCCGTATAGGTTCCATTGTATTTTTGCTTGTCCGCTAACTAATGTAGAGATGAGCCAGATGAACCTGGGCAAATGGTAGGTTAGCTAGCTAACCGGTCACATAGCTGTAGAGCCACATTCTGTTGACATAACATTAATGTCACTAGTAAATTGTTTGGGTTATGGAGATATTAATTTTTTTAGCCTTGCTTATCATTTCACTTTTATTTTAAGGCAGAATGCGAGCTAGCCGTGATAAAGTTGCTAGCTATCTTTCTCTTCAGGTATTTCCCGCCCACCTTGGAATTGAATGTGCTCTGCTAGCCAGCGGTTAGCCAACGCTAGCTGTCTGAGAAATTCTCTTCTGGCAAGTGGAAGCGTTGATATACCGGTCTAACAGTTAGATGCATAACGTTAATTCACTCGCAAACGAACATTTAGAAGTTGATATTACTCTCACGTTTTCCCTCATCCGTGGCTTTTTACGCAGGCAGAAAGGCCGTGTAATGCAGGGGTAACGCTCAGCTCGATGTCCAGAGTTTCCAGACACCCCTTGTAATCGTGCACTCATTGCTGATACAGGCGTTCAAGTGCACAGTTTGTATAATATCCGTTGTAAGGCACTGCCAGTGGAATGGGACACTCTGGAACTGCCACACATGAGGCTAAGGTCACCATGCTCAATGCCATGCATCAGCTAGAGGGGAATAAGGCCCCCAGCACTGGGCTGTGGAGCTGTGTTCTCTGGAGTGATGAAGCTCCATCCAGTACTTTTGGGTTGAGTTTGTGATCTAGAACAAATAATTCAACATAAGTGTCTGACCTCACTAATGATATTGTGGCCGACTGCAGTCAAATCCTCATATCAGTACTGGCCGATAATTAAAAAAGGTAAAAGTATCAGTGTTGGACAGACATTTAGATTTGGCAGATTTCAAAGTGATATTTGATTATGTATTTATTGTACTCCATAAGAGCAGCACGTTTAGACGATGCTGGACTACTGTGCTAAAATGTCTGAATTTTATTCATTTTACTGTATTTGTAACCCTACAGAAATAAATGTTTTTTTTCTTCGTAATGATGTTCCTGGTACAATTTAGTCCCACTTTTTATATTGGCATTGACAGAAAATACTGGAAATGTGCATCAGTCCACAGTTCTTGTATTGGTCCATCCCTAATTAATAACCTTTTGATTTTGGAAAAACGTTGGATGAACAAGTGTCTATAAACTTTTAGACATAGTGTTTCTCTATCAGATGCATTAACACCCTTTTTCACTCATTACACATTTTTATTTTCACTCATTACACACATACACATATATACACCAATCAGGCATAACATTATGACTTGTTTCTCAATATTGTCCTTGTTTCTACACTCATTGTCCATTTTATCAGCTCCACTTACTATATAGGTGCACTTTGTAGTTCTACTATTACAGACTGTAGTCCATCTGTTTCTCTGCATACTTTGTTAGCACCCTTTTACCCTATTCTTCAGTGGTCAGGACCCCCATGGACCCTCACAGAGCAGGTACTATTTGGGTGGATCATTCTCAGCGCTGCAGTAACACTGAAGTGGTTTGTGGTGTGTCACTGTGTGTTGCGCTGGTCTGAGTGGATCAGACACAGCAGTGCTGCTGGAGAAAATGGACAATGAGTGTAGAAACAAGGAGGTGTTCATAATGTCACAGCTTTTTGTTTTCCAGTCCCAGTTTGCACGTCACAGTTTAGCGCTTTCCCTCTCATCTCACATACTTGATTCAAGTCATCAATTATTTATCAGTGGTGTCAAGTACTAAAAAAGCAGAGGAAAATAGTAAAGTACAGTATATTATTTAGTACAGTGTAGTGTTTGAAAACTCGAGTACTTGTTTGTTAAATTGTCTTTGTTTATTCTGACAGTCTTTGTCTATTTAGTATTCTTACCATTGTCTTTTTTAAGTCACAAACATTGGTTGATATAATAAATTTATCAGCAGAGGCCTTTAGATAAATAGATGAAAGCTTGTTTCGTTTAGATCACATCATACAATCATTATAAATCATTTATGTCATAAAATCATCTCGGGCATAAACTTGCCACAGCACAAGAAACTGAATTGCTTTCCATGTGACTACTAAAACAAAAAACACAGATGCCTCAGAAAGAAATCACTGCGGGAGCTTAAATTATCTGATGACAAAGAAATGCTCAGTGCAAAATTTTTGATAAAAGGCCAGTATACTTTGGAGGATAAACAACATTTTCCCAAATCTGTAAGTGTAGTGATCCTTATCAGAGTCCTGCCATGCGTCCAATTCACACAGCCTCAGACTCAGTTCCAGCATGTAACTGCTTAAGACAGCAACATTAGCTCTTTTTTTCCTCCTTTTCTTTTCAAATTAAGTAGTTTTACAGCAGATTTTTATAAACCTGGCAGTATAAACAGCATAATTGTTTATTGCAAAAGAATTACTATCACATGTTTTTACTGCTGTATCAATAAATATAAATACAATAAATACTAGATAACACAAACACAGCATATCTCTCTCTCTCTCTCTCTCTCTATCTATCTATCTATATATGTATATGTGTGTGTGTGTGTATATATATATATATATATATATATATATATATATATATATATTGTGTGTGTGTGTGTGTGTATAATATATAATATGTATGTATGTATAATTTTTTTTTTGGTGAATCTTTGTTGTCCTGTCAATAAATACCCATTGTCATGTGTACTTATTGTTCCATATATTTATTGCCTGGTGTGTATATAAGATATATAGAGGAATGACAATAAAGATCGCTTGAATTGATCAGAGTCTCCTCTGCACCCTGTTAGTACAGTGTAGGAGCTGCTCTGCTGCTAAAACACCAAGATTATCATATTTTTTTTGTAAATTATTAAATATAGTTTAGAATACTTTAGAAAGTGGAAATTTCTATGAACTTGTGCTGCATTCACATGAGTTTAAAAAAATTGGCTTTTATATCTCTCTTGTTTTAAGAGACAGAAAGTCTATGTGGCGCACAGCCGGTGAACTGAAACATTAATTAAAGTGGAAGAATATTTGTTTTGTCAGATAGATGACTGAAAAAAAAAAACCCAAAACTTTAATAATTCTGATTTTTTTTTTAAGTTGATTTTGAGAACATGTATTCAAGTAGAAATATCAATGAGTTTTCAAAGGCTGTAAAATGCTGTTGGGGCGAGCCCTGGTGTAGGGTATTCTAGGACACTAGACCCACAAATATAAGAGCTCTGAGGAATTTCTTATGTAACTGTAATTGATAGGTTACTATTTTGTTCGTCTTTTATTTATAACCATAACTTTTATTTATTTATAGCAATAAATAGTGATGATTCTCAACATGGAAGTAGTTCTCAAGTGTGAACTGTGTTTTGTGTCTTCCTAAACAGCTGTCCTCAAATTTCTGCCTGGGTTATGGTATAGGGTGAGCCCCCCCCCACCACCTCCCCCATTTCTCAAGGGCAAAGTCTGTCAGGCAGAGTTTGTTGTGCTCTTGAGTAGCATCCAGTCATAAGTTTTTTGATCTAATTAATGTGTTTTAAGAAGTAAAAGAACCATATGGGCATCATATTTCAAAGGCTGTAATGTGTTTGGTATCATGCAATACCTGCCAATACCCAGTGCTATTTAAGTCACTGTGTTGTGGAAACAGGATGTAATGACTTTCTGAATATAGGGTGGGCGGGTGAGTGGGCCTGTTTGGGGATTTTTGTTTGTTTATTTATTCAAATAACTTTTTAACTGCAATCACGAATCAAAGAGGCCTAATGATCAGTGTATACAAAATAAATAAGTTCTTGTTTAATGCTTATCTTGATTAATTAACAGTATGTTTTTATGAGTCTTTTCTTATGTTTTGTAATGTATTTTTCCTGAAGTGTCTCTGTCCCCTAAAGGAGAATGCAAGTTAGCTTGTTGGTTTATGGGTGAGTAAAGGGAGTGAGTAATTGCAACATGATGCCCATTGTTTTAGTTATGACTATAATTCTTTGCAAAGACCAGATATATTTAACCTTGAAATATGTAGTTTACAGGATTCAACTTTTGTAGACCTCATTAACCAGTAAATAGAAAACGAGCCTGTTATGGTTGGATATTTTTGCTGCTTCAAAAGACAACCAGTTTCTCTGCCCGAGCCTGAGACACTGTTGGAGTGGGCAGGTTGGATAATATTTGTTTTTCATTAGGGGTGTAACAATACATTGTGATGCAAAATGTAACAGTAAATCTCAAGGGGATGAGTGATATCAGCTGTATTCTTGTAACTTTTTTCATGCCTTCAACTCTTTCAGCAGCTGGAGTCAGCTTCTTTTTTGCTAGCTTCTTGTTCAAATTTTACTAAATTTTACTTTAATTTCCACCTTAAATGGTGCAGCAGTAACAGTCTGGTACCTCATGCTGGTGTAACCATTGAAATAACCAGAGCCTACGCAACGGGCACAGCTACATAAGTCCTCCTGCTTCATGAACAGATTTTAAATGTACTGAAAAGGCTAATAGCACTGAAATATTTTTTGTAGTTACGCATCTTTTTATTTTCAGTCCCTGCCAAAGCCATAGGTCCTGAAGCTACTGCTGTGTAAGCTAATCTAAGATCAGTGCTTGGATGCTAACATACTAACAGAAATGAATCCTCAAAGCTTTGACAACAAACCACGTTAAATACAGCTCTACATGTTCACACTGTGAGTTTGCAGCCAAATATGTCATAGCCTAATGTACTAAAGGAAAAGTGTTTATTAGTGAAATAGATACAACGAAGCTGAAGGTTTTTGTCCTGTTCACCAGCTTCTTGTTCAGACTTTCCCGTTCCACCTTGATTGGTGCAGCAGTTACATTCTAGGACCTCAGGTGAAATATGGCTCACATGGTTTGTCACTAATCAGCTCTCAGGATTGACTAAATTATAGAAATATCAGTTGATATTGAGTTGATGTTGACTAAGAGACTTAGGTCGCATGTTGACTGACTTGATTGATTAAAATAATGATTAAATTAGGACTTCAGGTTTACTTTTATATGACACAATGCCAAAATAAAGCAACTCAAAAAAAAAGTCTTTGTTAAAGACTGGAAACTCATCTTACACCCCAGAGACTCGACTTGGACTTGAATTGACTTGTAAACCTCTGAAACACACTCACTCACACGTTTAGCAGTCTGAAGTTTCTTATAGTATGGCTTTGTGTACGTTGTTAAAAGAAAAGGAACAGCCATGAACCCACACCAGCAGAATCTCAAGAATGCACGTGTTTGCAGCCACTTTCACATTTTATTTTGAAACAGTTTATTACCAAAAATATTAAGTAATTAAGTATTTTAATTCAAGATTTTCCTGTCAGGTAAAGTTAACAGAGAAAGTAAATCTAAGCTGTTTGTCTAACAAAAAAGCATTGTGCTAAGTATTTTAGATGTTACCCAACCCAAATAAAAAGTAGTTGTTTTGTTATTGATATGATAAATATTTGTAAATGTGTGACAATTCACTTGGTCTGGTGATTTGTTGGAAAGGGAATAAAAAAAGGCAAAAAAAAGTGATCTCCTTGGCTCTGCATTTCAAGTGGTCAGAATATGAATCGCTTTGTGTTGTAATGTGTTTTAGCTAGGGCCACCAGACAATAAGCAACCTCTGATGATCCCAACTCTCAGCCTTCACTCACAGGGTCATACAACACACTCTCATTTTTAGCTATGTTTAGAGAAGATCACCACGACTCGAATGCTGTAGTGTTAGTTTTGGTTTAGCTCTTGAAAGAAAATACTTTTGAGGATATTTTTGGTTGAGTATTAGAAGTTTTTGACCACAAAACCCCTGCCGTTGGTTTGTGAATAACACCTCCTCCACACTGCCTTTTTATGACATCTGTAGTCATTCAAAAGCAGCTCTCTAGCAAAGATTGCTCATGCTTTTTCAAAGGCACTAGATGCAGGTAGATTTCCAGGATGATTTTTGGTACATAGGCCTGCATACACTTCACAACTTCAGACTGTATCTCTTGTGAACCCACGCAAATGCTTAGCAGTTTAACGTTTCTAGGGTCTTATGATGGGAAGTTTTTTTTGGGGGGGGTTTATCCTCTTAGAATCTGACAGCCTCTGTTTAGTGAATAAGAGCAGTTGTAGGTGTGTCTCATGCTTTTATGAGTGCTTCACACACTGTTCAGAAACTTGTCGTGTGATTGAGTTTCGTTTCGTTTGTGGTGGAAGCTGTGGATAGGGGGACGGTACAGTCAAGGCTGACTTTGGCAGGCAACTGGACAGGACTTGGACATGTTGGAACACATTTTATGTAACAGTGCTGGAGTGGGGAGCATAAGCAGAAAGCTTTTCAGAGTGTTTTTTCCTCTTTCTTTCTTTTCTATATATATATATATATATATATATATATATATATAAAATATACTTGAAATGAATACTCATACTCATGGAAATTAGTACTTTGTGTTTTTGACACCCAACAAAGAAAAACCTCTCCAATTGGATTACAGAACCAACAACAGCAATGCTGTTTCACAACCTGTTGAATCTGCATAGTTGCAGGCCTTTTTAGACTATTTCTGATTAATCGAACACTCTAACAATCATTTTCATGTTTGTTAGAAATCTGAAACCTGAATTAAAAATATCTTACCCTATATATTAAACAGCTTTTGTTTGCATTGATGTTGTTTTTATTTCTCTATTAGAAAACTTTTTTTTTTCCCCCTTTTGCTTTACCATCTATTAACAAACTTTAACTCATGCTACTGTTATATGCTACCTTGTCTGCTACGGAGTTATTTTTGGTAGTGGTAGTTGAAGTAGTATTATCTCTCTAAGTACATTTACTAATTCTTCTGGACACATAATCAGTGATGTTCCTCAAAGCATTTTTTTCCTTCTGTTATTATTCAGAACACAGTGAAAGTGTGTAAGTTGAGGCTTAATCCTTGTGAAATAAAACAGAATAAAGATGCAGTTTAGTAAATGTTGTGATTGTAATTTGTCATCTTTAATTTGGCCACGAAGCTGTGATTAGTTTAGTAAGAATGGAGCGGAAGTGTCAGTATCACTTTACCGTCCAGTGCCATGGTCTCTACTTTACCATCCAATGCCATGGTCTCTAACTGCCTCTTGGGGCTGTTACTGCAGCAACTTGGTTATTTTAACTGGGCACAAGTCTGTCCGTAAGTTGTAGTGACTTGTTGTTGAACCTGAATGAATTATGGTTAGAAAATCATGCTGTCCCGGGTTGTACAACTTTATGACGTTAGCTTATTGGTGAAACATCACAAAGTTATGTAAGAATACATCAGTATCACAGTACTGGCATTATTGCCTCTAAGTGCTTGAGTGCCAGGTCAGGCTGTGTGTCAGTGTTGGTGTGTTTCTAATTGTTCATTTTGAGCTGGACCTTGAAGTTGTGAGTGTGTTGTTGATAGAGCGCTAGGCTATAATTAATGTTGCTGTCCTTTCGCAATTGTGCTGGAGGAAATGGTGTCTTGAATGCATCCAGATGTCTTTAGCCACACATCTTGGCTGAAGTGATGTCCTCTCAAGCTCTGAACGCTGTGACTCCTTTAAATACATCAAAGAAAGTATGAGTCATTTACTCACTGTGTGTGCATGAGAGAGAGAGAGCGACAGGGAGAGAACAATCTAGATAGTAATGCCATGTTCAAGAGCATTGTGAATGTCTTTTGTCGTCAGCTTGCGTTGATGCATTCTCTAGATCACACTTGCAGTAGTCCTAAGTCCATGTGCATTAGGAATTAATGCCAGTGTGGACTAATAACGTGATGGTCATTATTAATAGTCATCATTAGGAGAATAACATTGCACTCAGTTCATGATTTGATTCATGATGCTGGGTTCACGATTTGCTGTTCTCACAGTATTTTTGGCCTTGATGACTGTAATCATGTTGTTGCACAATGTTCTAATTCTAATTAGAGCTGGGAGGCAGCAGAACTGCTGGAGTGAGTTTTGATTAGTGCTGATTGTTTGCAAACTTTGCTGTTGAAACACTGCAGTTATTTTGCATACATGCAAACTCATCACCTTTTGGTTAAATTTCACTGTTTTCAGTGATGAATATGCCATTTGTGTTAATCGTTTAGATTTGAAGTTTTTAATTTGGAAAACGTTCGCGTCTTTTACCAGCAATTCTAAGGGAGATTGCTTCTTTAGTGACTTGTGGTCACTATTTACTCTACTCACACATATAGCATTTAATTTTATAGGAAAGTTAGAACTAAAATGTGGCCATGTTTCTTCAACAGTAAAGTTGGTTTCGTTTTCACATATTTGGATTTCTATTTTAATTGCTTTCACAGTGGGTGAAAAAAGTTCATGTTCACTTTTACAAGCCAAAGCAGCAATAGATGGCAATATAAATTAAGAACGCATATACTTTCACAAAACACAGATCCGACATACAATGAAAAAACAAATAATGTTGAATTACATGAAAAAAGAATTGACTGTCTATAGTGTGTAGAGCTGACTGCCTTTGTTCTGTCTTTTCTCAGTCTTACATGTGACTGTTAACAATATGAGGCTGAGAATGCGCAAGGCATCTCAGCGGCCGAACACCGCCCACGCCCCTCAACCGGCCCGGACCAAACGCAGACACCCAAACGAGGAAGAGTGCACCGTCCGAGGAAAGGGCCTTCTGTCCACCCTCAAGAACTTCATCCATAACGATGCCTTAAAGGTAAAAACCAGCAGCTCTTTCCTTTCCTCTGTAGGCTGAAGATTCCTGTGAGTCGTTAAATATTGTATGGTCTTATTATTATTATTATTGTTGTTGTTGTTGTTGTTGTTAATGTTGTTAATATTATTATTATTATTAATAGTTTTAATGTTCGTTTTTTTTTTTTGTTTTTTTTTTTAAGAGGTAGACAGTTTATTGGGCCATGTTCAAGGGGAATTTCACTGTTTCTAAAATTCAGTTTTCTAAAATTTTGCATGAATTAATCCTTGTGACTTTCAGTCTGTGGAATTCCCTTTCACGAAACAAGCATAGGTGCTTAATCTTGATATACTCATCACTCATCAGCTCAGAAAACAGCTTCTTTAAATTTGGAGGACAAACAGAAAACACAAAAATCACAGTGTTTAGCAGAGTTTACAGAAGAAGTAAAAAGCTTCATTTCTGTGCTTGTTTTAATTGTGGTAGATTATATGTATGATATGAAGAGTCTTGATCTGTGTCCTATGACTCCTCAGACTGGTTTATTTTTTTCCAAATGTTCAACTGAATTGGTTTAATGTAAGTCACAAGAATTCCGATCTTCACTTAAACTGTGTGTCCAAAAGTATCCAGACACCAGATCACTGTCATTTATTTTCTGAATTAAATGCAACGGAGAGCATACTAGCTGGTTAGCAATGTGGAGCGGTAAGAAATTTACTCAGACTGCACTGAAAGAATAAGGCCAATATTATCGCCTCAACAGATTGAGCTCTACAACAGTTAGGAATGGAGTCTTAACAGCAATATCTAATGTGCTTCATTAGTGTGGGTGAAGACCTCTCAGTGTGGGTGAAGACCTCCGTTCACTGGAAGAGTCCAGTATTTATCAAATAGATCATACATTTTTAAAAATGTATCAAATTTTGTCACATATTCATTGCAGTCCTAAAATAAAACTTAGTAATAAAACTTTATGTAGTGCAGTGTTAGTCCAGGACTGGTTTTGTTCCAGAACACTATTACACCAGTGTCTCTCTCTTCTACCCTATGCCCTCCTCTCCCTCCTCCTCAGTATCAGTCTTGATTTAGCACCATGTCTGGATTTGAGATGTAAATTCAGGGTTTGTCAGGACCTGGTGTCGTATTCTCCCAGAAACGCATGGAGGAATGCTGTTGCTTGTCTGAGGAGTGCAGTAGTGGTCTAATTTTAGCTGTGGTTCCACACTGCTTGCATAATCACACTAGGTATGGTTGGTTTAAACAAGCTTGCAGCTGGCTGTGCGTATACTAGGGCTTTTGCAGGGGTGTAGGGTTCTGTGGGAATTGTTTTAGTCCCATCTGTTTATACTGAGTGGAAAACGGGCTTTGAAAGCCTGTAGAAATAGTCCACATGCTGTCCATAATGTAATCAGTTTTTAATATGAAGTGTATTTGGAAGAAGGTAGCCTACCCAAGTGCTCTTTGGCTCTTCGGGGGAGCTAGCATTCATTCAGAGGTCATGTGTCGTGTGTCATGGTAACTTTGAGTTAGCAAAGTACCTGTGGTAAAAGATATTTGTGAAAACAGCAGTCACAAATCTAAAAATGACACTTCTCAAACCAGAGTAGATGAATAGTACATTTGTTATTTTGGTATATAATACGCATACCACAAAACACACCAGATGAACAACAGACACTTTCAGTGTTTACCATAAAATTTGTTTTGAAATAGTAACAATAATAATAATAATGGATAAATAAAATAAATTGTAAATTAAATTATTTTTGTACTAATGTTTACCTTACTGCTTAAAAAAAAACGCACTAATGAAAAGTAAAGTTGGATCTTTTGTAGGTGTGGTTCACTCTGGGATGACTGTCGGAGCATGGAGAAAAGGCTGTGGATTGAACTTCACGTGTAATTAGAAAGGCAGCAGCATAGGCAGTGTGTGGGCTACAGAGAAGTGTGTGTTTGGCTGTATGCGCACTCGGCCATGGATAGCTGTTTCGTTAGCAGGATTCAGACTCCTGTCCTAGCAAGAGTTTGTGATTCTTTAAGTAGTCTTTCCACTTTCAAGGCCATTTTCAACAGCAAATAATATCACTTTAGAAAAATTGGTGTAAAACATTTATGAGGTTCCTCATCCAAGCCCCTGAAATCTGTAGAATGTTGTTGAACCACGGTTTGTTTAATCAGCATTTCTTGGCACTTACTTAGAAGCTCATATTGAACACTTGACTAATGAGCCAACTGTAATTTTACCCTTATTAGTAGTACAAGTGTAAGTAATACCATTTATGCGATGGCCACTACAATAGCCATTACATTAACATGTAGACTGAGATGTACAGTCTGACAATGACGAATGAAATGAAACTGACAGTTTTCTATGTACTTGAAAATTCTGCTGAATTATTGCCACAGTAAAAAATAAATAAAAAAATTATAATTTATAAAAACATTCAAGTATTCAGACCTTGGATATTTACAAGGTTTATGTTATGATCTATTTAAACCAAATGCTTTTATACAGATAGTAGTAAGCTAAATATATATATACAAAATAATAATTTATAGTTTTCTTTTGTACGATGGCTTGCACTTAGATTTCTTTTAAAGTGACGAAAGATTTAGATTTTTAAAATAAAAAAAAAACAAACTTTTATTCAAAAAAATGCTGTCCCACATTTTCATGACGCTAGCACAACACAGAGTTTTAGTCCTTGTACTTGACTGCAGTTTTGAAGTCCTTGTCTACCTATGTTTTGCTCAGGTGGAGCAGGAGAACCCAACCAAGAGAAGTCGTTTGACCTGTGACCTCATCACCTCCACCCCATCCAGTGCCATCCCATCCAGAAAGAGCGTCAGCCGGGTCCGCAGGAGGTGCTCCATCGATGGTGGTGAGTTGTGAACACTCACTGTTTGAGAACTGGTTCTGTTCAGTGCACAAACACAGACTGGTACTGCCATTAAAAGTGATAGATTAGCATAAAATTTGTTTCTTTACTTTTGCACTTGAGCTACAAGGCTAATGCAGCTAACAAGTAAAACGCTGACCCACAGAAGCCAGGAACCATGACACGAGTAAGCCGGTAAAGCCTAATGGGAAGTTTGAAGAGGCTGGGGATGCAATGAGCAGTCCTCCCCGCACCACTTTGCTGGGGACTATCTTTTCTCCCGTCTTCAACTATTTCTCACCAGCAAACAAAAACGGTGAGCCTTCAAGCCTGCATCCATTCTAAACTATGAACAGTTGGTTGTATTTAGCTATACTCACAGTTTAGACTAGCTTTCAGTGTCTTGTCTTTTAGTGGGGGAAACAATTAAAATCTCTGTCTGTCTCTCTGTTAGTTGTGTCTGGTTCAGACTCACCGGGCCAGGCCGTGGAAGCGGAGGAGATAGTAAAACAGCTAGATATGGAACAGGTGGAGGAGACTCCCACCAGCACTGCCACATATGTTCCGCTGTGCCCCACTGCAATGCCCTCCGCAGCCATGAGACTCCCGCCCCCCAGCTACACACAGACAGAAGAGGAAGAGGAGGAAGTGGCTCATGCTGATCTACCACCCCTCACAGGTAGAGAAGAATGTCTTGATGCTGTTTTGCTGAAGACCTTGACTGTGTCTGTAATCGCTCACTACTTCTATATGTAGTGATTCACTACATAGGAAATATGAATTTGGGCATTGGCTGTCCCTGGAGATGGGATCACTGGGACACAGATGGCTCAATTACATGTGACACTACCAGCAACATCGACTGGGAAGCTTACTCACTGTGCTGTGCTTTAGCCATACTGTTGATTGTAGAATGAATATTCAGTCATTTCATGAAGACCTATCATTTTGTTTACACTGACACCAGATACAACCATGTGCCATTAACGTACAGCAGTGTTTAATTAAAAAAAGCCTCCCTTCAGGTGATTAATACCACTAGGATAAAATACTGATTCTGCTTTGCAAGTGTCAAGCTAACCGTGGTTCACCTTAACAATTCATAGCAGCTGTAGCTAAAACACAGTCAGCTGATAATTGAATAAACTTGATATCTGATGCTTCCTCTAAAGATTTAAGATTAAAATCTGTAACAGAATATTTCCAAACAGGCCTAGTTAGCCTTTCAGCTATAGCCTGTTAGCAGCAGGATACTTTAATGTGTAATACTTGTGAAATACGTTGTATTACGCTAAATATAGTATAAGTATTTTGTAGGTAGTAGTCTTGCTAGACCAAAATTATTTATTGTTGGTAGTATTTTTTTCAGTTTTCAGTTGTTTTTTTTTTTTTTCTTTTTTTTGTCCAGGTGAAGAGGCAACTGAGGTAACCTACAGTATTCGTCCTCCATTTTAAAACTTTTTGAAAGTTGAGCTGCAGGTGTGATGCTATTTCCGTTCAGGGAGCATAGTGAACAGTCGATGCTCACTGGTTTTTATGGTGCATGGAACGAAATTTTGACAGTGAAACACCCTAGAAAATGGCTGGTTCCCTGGGCAGAATCCTAACTACTGAACTAGCGAGCTCATTGAGACCCACCCCTTGTCTGCTGGAACAGCACAGGACTAAGGTTGGGCGATACGGCAAAAACATATCTTAAGTAATAAAATTAATTAGTAAAATTAGAGTGGCATAACATCCAGTCTACTGCATATAACCATGCAATTTATGCAGTTGCTCTTCACTGGTAGTTGTGTATTAAGTGCTGTCAAGTAGGTTCTGACAACCATATAGATGGTGTTTTTCCAGAATATCTTGTCTTCTGTTTGGGTCTTCAGGCTTCCTAATGGTTTGTTTATGATTCCTCTGATTGTATCCATCCATCTTGTTGCTGGCTGTCCTCTTCTTCTTTCACCTTCAACTGTTCCAAGTATAATTGTCTTTTCAACAGAATTGGTTCTTTTCATACTGTCCAAAATAAGATTGCTTCAGTTTGATTATCCGGGCTTTGAGTGAGAGATGAGGCTTGATCTGGTCAATGATCCATTTGTTTGGACTTAAGCGTATCAATTTTTCATGTACTGCCTTTTAAATTGTCCAGCTTTCACATCCATAAAAAAACACAGAAAAGACCATAGCCTGGACAATTCTGATCTTTGTAGACAAATCATTACATTTGAAGCTCTGTCATCTTTATTCTGCTAAGTGCCAAGCTGTGTTGTATTTTTTGACTGCTGGATCCTTTGTTGTTTATCATTGGTCCAAGTAAGCCAAAGCTGTCAGTTGTTAACTTAGCAGTTTTTCCCATTGTCATAACCTTTTGTTTTTGTCATATTGAGCTGAATACCCACCTTTTCACTCTGTTCTTTAACTGTCCTTATAAAGGCCTTCAGGTCTCGCTGACTTTTCGCTGTGTATGCTGTCGTCCATGTATCGATAGTAATTGATGTTTCTTCCAGCAATCTTGAATCTTTGGTCATCTTCCTCCAGTCTTGGAACAAGTATGGTGATGGAATGCAGTCTTTTGCATACTCCTTTGCCAAGGTTGTTCATTTTCTGTCATGACGTGGAAACTGAATGCACCACGTTGTGCATGTGTTGGACTTTCATAAACTTAGTCTTCAGCATAAAATACAGAAAACTGAGAAATGCAGAATGAAAAAAAACATTAAGTAAAACAAACAAAAAATTCTACAAACTACACTTCTTTCTTGAATTACTTTTGCTTTTTCAGTTATCCAACTTGCATCTGCGATGATATCTTTTATTCCTGTTCTTTTTCTAAATCCTGCATGCATGTCTGATATAAGGGACATTTAAATGTTATTTCTAGGCTCTCTACAATTGGTTCAGATCTGATATGCTGTTGTTCAGTGCTCTAGAAGTACTGTCAATACCCATGGTATACTCAGAGAAAACATATTGGGGTGTAATTTGTGAAGTTAAGGGTAATACAGTCATACTGCATTCCCCTAATCTTGCTAAGTCATGTTTACTATCTAGTAGAAGTTTTATTACTTCATCACACATTTTATGAAATAAAAAAAAAATACACACACTTTCTCTCCATTTTTCTGTCTTAGCCCCTGGATCACCACCAGGCGCTGGGTATGTGGAGGTCCCTGCCAGTGTTCCTATTGATGCCTCATGTGAAGAGGATTGGGAGGTGTTTGACCCGTGAGTACAACTGCACTAGACACTGCCTGTGCTTTGTGTCAGTATTTGTTTTGCCATCTGTCTTGAGTTTAAGCAATTATTGTCAAGTTAGTCACTAGTATTGTATTACATCAAAATCCCGAGGCACAATATCTTTTTCACTAGGGCTGTCCCCCCGTCTGAATTTCCGAAAGCCTGGTTACGCCTGTGCTGAAAGCATATCCGTGGCTTCATCCGCTGTAAAATCCAAATCTCCAGGCTAGCTGCTTTCCTTGCAGAAAGATGCGGCGAGTACAGCATGGCTTTACTCCGTCTTTCAGGCCCGCTAACCTCTCTTAGACTATGATTGGACTGCAGGAAAATCGGATTTGTTTCTCAAATCAGATTTTTTGAGACGACTGTCCACACAGATCAGATTTGTGTGTCCAGACATCACCAGCCTGTCTGTATGGGTTACTGGGGTAATGATGTAGGCGTCAGTCACTGCATAGCTACGCTGGATGCAGGAGAGATGGAGGTGCGTCACCTCTACAGAATTCACTGGCATAAGCATGAATCTTTGGTGCTCTTCTCGAATTCCAGCACTTCCGAAATCCTAATCCCAAAATTAAAAACCGACTAGTTGAATATTCGAGTCCAGTCCTAGACTTCACCCACGTGACTAACAGCCAATAGCTTATCAGAGCTGCATGATTAATGGTGAGTTAATCAAGATTGTGACTTGCTGCAGTTAATTAGTTCTTAATTTGACCATGTGACCCTGGCTTTGTATTCAGAACTATTTATAGTCAGTTTAAAGCTGTTTGTGTTTTTGTTTTTTTGTTTTTGATTAAAATTGCATGAAGTAGCATTACTGAGTCAGGAGGGGGGAAAACATGCCAAAATATGGTGTGTTTGCGCTGTAAAGCCTGAGGTAATAATTTAAAAAAGTTAGAGGTGGCAAGTCCAGCTTGATGTTTTAGGTCTCTCATGCAAAATCAACATCATACTGATATGATGACCATAGTAGGTCATTCACTTACATCATCGGAAGACACGTCCTTCACCAAGTTTTGACTGAGTTGTCTTTGAATACTCTTTCAACACACTTGCAATCATCTAACCATCCACTTGAAAAGGGATCCGAAACACAAGCAACGCTACAAAATGATTTTTCATGTGTTGTGCTCAGTTACACATTTGCACCAGAGAGATCTCCAAATCCTCAAATCTCCAGAACTCATCAAAAATACTGAGTAGACTATAAGTGTTTGATCAGCCTCAAATCATGAGTGTGGGATTTTTCCTTCTTTTTTTTTTTCTTTTTTTTTCTGTAATCATTGAGTAATCACCATCTAGATATTTTGTCACACACCGACATTCATTTTTTAAAAAAAAACTCTCATCCCATCTTTTCTTTCAGTATCCCATCTTTTCTTTTAGCATAACTAGGTATGGGGTGAGTAATGTAAATGATCTAATTGTTTATTTTTTGCAATGATAATTGTATTCTCCATCGGCAACATGTAAGACTGTTAACTTGCAGTGTTGTTCCACATTTGTTTGTTTGCGAACTGGCACCCTTCTTCTGGACAGGGTTGTTCCTTTTCACACACTACTGGAGAGTTCTCAAGTATCAGAAATTTCTTAGTTTCATCTGAATGTGCCTCTGCATTCTTCATTTTAATCTATATTGTATGTATGTATGCATGTATGTGTGTAGTTTCTTGGTGATGTATTTGTATAGCCTATAATTAAGTGCGGTCTTTTCTCTTTTAGAACTAACCATAGATGGCAATAATTGTACAAAGGGAATAGTTAAATAAAGGCGAATCAATAAAAAATCATGAGTATTTTTTGTGATATATTTTTGGCACGTATTTAAATTACTAGTGTTGGGTAAAATGTATTCTGATCCATAGGAAAAATATAACCCACTATGACTTGCTCTCTGTAGTTATGTGAAGCAGATATACCAGGTATCCCCTGGCTGGAGTATGTTATTTTGGAGTATATTAAGTATTTTGGTGATTTGCTCTGTAGGTATTTCTTCATCAAGCATGTTCCTCCACTGACTGAAGAGCAGCTAACCCGAAAACCTGCTCTCCCTTTAAAGACGCGCAGCACACCGGAGTTCTCTCTCGTCCTAGATCTGGTAAGTGCTCATCTGTAAGTTAATTATGAATAAACATCCATAAAAATACATACTCTGCTATTCTATTTTGGGCTCAGAGCCATAATCATTCACCTTATTTAAATATGATTTGTTTTACACTATAATTGCGACTCTCTTGTTTGTTTCTCTAAAGGATGAAACTCTAGTCCATTGCAGCTTGAACGAGCTGGAAGATGCAGCACTGACTTTTCCTGTACTTTTCCAAGATGTCATATACCAGGTGGGTGCAGCGGACGTGATGGGGAGATTGATTAGCTGATGAGAATTTCCAGAGTAGAAGCAGTACAGGGACAAAGCTGTAAGTCAGCTCCTCTGCTTGTATGTGAATACAGTGAGTACAGTTTGACTCCACAAGAGGGAGCCAAAGCATCACTGTGAAAGTGAAGCTTAGGAAGCTGCAGTCAAAATCAAGTCAAGAGTGAGATCCGGTTAGGATTCATTACACTTTTATATTGTCGGCTGTTTTATGTGTTCCTCTTTGTTAACGGCTGGGTCAGATAACCAGACAGATTTTTTCCTTTTCCTAGTGGAAATTGTTGCACACATGTATAGAAGCTAATTATATGATTCTCTTTTTCTTCCCTCCCAACCGCTCAGGTTTATGTACGATTGAGGCCATTCTTCAGAGAATTTCTCGAACGTATGTCTCAAATTTATGAGGTAACTGTCAGTCTTGCTCCCTTATTCAGTGCTTGGTTATTAAATTGCTAAAACATTTAATATGTTCAAAGGATACATATGGTCCTCATAGGATATCTTTTTTTCCCCCCTTATAGATCATTCTTTTTACTGCCTCAAAGAAAGTTTACGCAGATAAGTTGCTGAACATTCTCGATCCGAAGAAACAGTTGGTCAGGTTGGTGGAGTTCTTCTTTTCTTCTTGTCTCTCATCTGTTCGGTGTTATTTCCAAAAGCATGTGTATTGATAGTATGTGCAAAACCCAGAATCAGCATCGACATAATGTGTATGAGCATCACATCTTCCCGATCAAGATGTGAAGAAAAATTCAGTTTGATCAGAGATGTTGATCCTTACCAAACCAATAACTTATAACTTATCTCTGAGTCCTGGTTATGCCCAAAATAACATCCAGACATGTATATTTACCTTTTAAATACTGAATTAGCCTACACATCGCAGAAGCTGAAAGCATACAAATCTGTTAGTATCTGCAGAAGGAGCAGCGATATTGTCTTTTGTACGATCAACATCAGCATCAAACATTGTTGTGATCACAAAAGTAAGTAATAGCTACCTGTCTGCATTCGATGGGGTTAACCAGTGTTAGCTTAATTCTGGGATTCTCTCAACTGCATTCATTGTCTAGCTAAAGCATAAGAAATCTAGCCATTAATAGTTAGATTATGTAAGTCAGTTGTCAACCAGTGTCACTCGAAAATGATCAAAACTACAGAATTAATTCATGTCATTTTTGTGACAATATAATGAGAAAATGTAATGTAAATTTTGTAATATTTGTGACAGTAATGAGAATAAATGGAGCAAGCTTAAGGGTGATGGCTAGAAGTTTTTCCTGTTTATTCTTGCTATGCAAAGATTTCTCCTTTGCTGGCTCAGCTCTACAGCCTCTTTCTCATCAAGATATTAGACAGCCAGGATGCTGTAAAAGCTTACCGTGTTATTTTCTCTTACTGTTGTTACTACAGTCGTGAACCATGCAGCACAGCAGGGCGATATTTTATCTGTCAGGATGCTTTATTAAGTAGCCACTGTCATCGCTGTGTTCACCAACAATATGGCAGCAGCGTGCAACATCAGTTGAGGACTGTACATAGTTTGAGTTGTGGGTACTTTTGCCAAAGAGTAATTTGTCTTGTTTGTTGATGTAACTGAGAAATTTTCCTAAAAACACCAGTTGTTTTCATTTCAATCCCAGTACTGAACATCCATATTCTAGAAAACTCTTATTGCTGTTAGCTGTATGTTACTGTTTGGTAACTGCTTGTTTTATTGAGGTATGAACAATACTGTTTTGCGGTGCTGGCCCAAGTGCAACTTATTTTCTTTATACCCAAATAAACACTAACATGCTATCTCTTTTGATCAGACTTTGGACTCCTTTAGCCTTAAAGTATTAGTTAGTAATGGAATCCTGCCTTTGGGCTTCCGTGCTAGTTGCTGGGTTGCTCTAGTGGCTTTGATTACAGTGCAGGGTTAGGTTTGGGTTAGAGGGGGTGTTGGGCGCCACCACATAGAGAATCTAGGTGATCTTCAGGTGTCAACTCTTTGGTTTGTCTGCATTATTTATTCTCGTCCTGGTGTCATTGTTGCAACTGAATCGTTTCTTTCCCCTCTCTTTTTGTCTGTGCGTGTCCAACTTGATTTTAGGCATAGGTTATTTCGGGAACATTGTGTCTGTGTACAAGGGAATTACATCAAGGATCTGAATATTCTTGGGAGAGACCTGTCAAAGACCATCATTATTGACAACTCACCGCAAGCCTTTGCTTATCAGGTGAGAAAGTTAATGGGGAGAAAACTTTCCACTCACTCAACAGTTCAGCTCATTGTATTCTAAGTTAAAACCTGTTTTTGGCCCTATGCAAGAAATACATTGGAATTCTAACTGGTCCAGCATTTTACATATAAAGAAATATTTATAGAGAATGATTTCTTTATAAATCATTAAATAAGAGTGCATGTTGCCTAATTGTTCTGAAACAAAATCCAGGTGTAACAATAACTGTGTGACTATTCAGTAGGGATGTAAAAATGATCTAAATGTGAAGATTCAGTTGCAGCAGTGTTAGAATGTTAGAACTGATTATCTTCAATTCTAACCAAATAATGTTTTATAACGTATGCACTAACGCTTTTTGAACATCACTCTTTCTTTTTGGTTGGAAACATTAGGACACACTTTTCCGTGAGGCAACAAACTGCAGAAAGTTTTTGCTTATTACTTTTCAGTGGGCTACATTATTTTGTCAAAACTAACCACATTTATCATCGTGTCTGTTAATCTCAGCTGTCCAATGGCATACCAATTGAGAGCTGGTTTGTGGACAAGAACGACAACGAGCTTCTCAAGCTGGTTCCTTTCCTGGAGAAGCTGGTTGAGTTGGTATGTCAGTTCCTATTGACTTCTTTATTATGTTTGTCACACATCTTTATAGAGAGTGTAGTGTGTAACACAAGCTGCAGCAAATATTCTAAAAATAAAATATAATTAAAATATCTAAAAACAGAAATGCAATCAAAATAACTAGAACCTGTTTTTATGAAAGCACACGGTTCAGCGTATCAGTTTTTATCAGGCTGACAGGAAAGAGCAAGTCACCAGTAGCACACAGTAGCAATGCGTCTAAAGAGAGCAAGATAATCTCAGATAAAGTCACGCAAAACAGCGATACATTATTAGCCTTCTTCGTATCGGTCATGTCTTCCGTTCTCATTAAAGCCATGGTAATATCCCAGCAGTAGTTTGAGGTAGGGCTGTTTGAAACTCTGTTCCTTACTTCCTGTTTTAATTTGAGTTTTCTAATTTGAGGTGATAATGACAAAGTTAAACTTGGTTTTCCTATTAGCCTGCATCTTTTTCATGTTGTGTGTTTTTGTTTTTTTTTTTATTTTATTATTCCACCTTATATTCTAGAACATGCACCATCTAAACAGAAAATATGAATAAGAAGCTGTCTTCAGCTTCAGGTGATAATGTCTTAATCTCCCAGCACAGTCCTAATGCTTCTCCTACTGCTATCATGCTCTCAGCTATATTAATGAAAGAATAAACAAGAATAAGTAAGAGCGTTCTGGCTAGCAAGCTGGTCATCTAGTGCAGAAAGAAACAAAAGCAGTTTTTAAGTGCCTTAAAAAAAACGTGGTCATAAAGACCAAAACGCTGTTTTCTCTGCTATTACAAATGGTTAATGTTAAATGGTTTTTCCATTTAATCATTAAAGTGAAACGTGTTTTAGATGTCATTATTGGATAGATTATTTTAAAGTGAGAATATTCAATACTCGAAGCTCAACATATTTCATTTTCAATATATTTTCAAATAAGTACTTGATATTGATGCAGAAGGTTGGAAAACAGCCATTAACTATAACTTGGTTATACTATTATATTGAGTGCATTGTGTTATGTTCTTCACCTCCAGAATGAGGATGTGCGACCACATGTTCGTGACCGCTTTCGTCTGCATGACCTGCTGCCTCCTGACTGAGACACAAGTGTGGACTTCTGCACTTGGACATGAAGTAATAAAGACAGAAAAGGCAAAACAAAAACCCTTTTTAACAACATCATTGCCATTACTTTCTTGTTTTTTTTTTTTTCCTTGTTTTTTCCATATTTCCTCCATCCCTTCAGTCATAACAAGAAAAAAAAGAAGAGATTTTTGAAGCAACATTTGAAAATAGAATTTATGAACTCGTATGAATAGATGTATAAATGTAACTGCTTTACATGTGTAAGACCAAGAACTCTCCTTCCTCTGGGACTCACCACTAGAAGAATTATTTCTTCTTTTTGTGCGAATGGATTGATTGTATCCTGTTTTTTCAGTCATTTGAGCCCTCATGAAGTGAATGTGCAAAACGTAGCTGAGAAGAGGAGGATCCATTTTTGTTTTCTTTGGTGCTTCGACAGAACTTTTTAACATTCTTTCGCTATTAGACCAACTTCAAAAGGAATGGCCAGTAAAAAAAAAAAAAATGCTTGTGGGTGATGATCGAGATTATGTCTGTGGGTTTGTTTTAAATGTCTCCCTCTGCCTAATCTCATTATGCATTCCTCAACATTGGCGCGGCTTTTCTGTAGTTGTTTTTAATTTGATCAGTGGCTTTTGGTTTTAATGTTACTCTTTTGCAGGTTCGCTTGTCTCTGTCTGCTAGAGCAATTGTTCCATTCTCAAAGAGTGTGGTGTCAGTTTTTCTGGGTATTTTGTTTTAAGAAGGTATTCAGTGTAATTGGGTCGTTCCCTTGCAAAGTATGATGGAGTTACTCTTGTCATGTTGGGGGAAACGGATTGTTTGTTTTTTTGTTTTTTTTAAAAGTATATTACAAATACCTTGTCTTCACTCTCACAAAATGGGATTGTGGTGAAACTTTCTGAAATGGTGAAAAATTCAGTCTTTGTTTTTAGTATCAAAATCTGGTGGTCTGGCTTTGTCTAATTAGATTTGTACATCTGCACTTTCAAGATGTCTCGAATTAAAATGTAAGTTAGGATTTCAAAGAACTCCATCCAAAATATCTCTCGCTGTTATCCTTTTATAATTTTCTACTCTGGGTGGTCTCTGTCGCACGAGTTTTCATATCAAGTCTTTTTTTTAATAGATATATATTTTTTTAAACTCTTCATTGCCCATTGTGTTTTTAGTATGAAATGGCAGTGTTTTAATGTACAGATGGGTGCCAATGTAGCATGGTTCATGATGTGCAAATCTTCTCACCTACATTGCAAAGCTTATAGGGGGGCAGCTGGAAGCCTGAGATTGTTTGGTTTATAGCACTAGCATTTGAGCAGCAAAACTCTGTGGTTTACATTTCTTTTGCCTGTAGCTTTTGTTTTTTCCCATCTTCTGGTATTCATTGTTTAAATGCAGTAAGGGGTCCTTAACATGAATGTGTGTGTCATGGAAAGACTTGGAAAGGAATTATTTGCATATTGATAGTACGCTTCTTTTTCTCCTTTCCTAAAACTTTGTGTCGGTTTTAGGTTATAGACCTTTGTGTATAACAAATTATAGTAAGAAAGAATATAATGTCAGTGCACCTGTCCTCATGATGGTTGTTAGATGTATTCCCTGCCCTCATGTCCTCGCCTTTTTGGTTCAGTGTTTTTGTGGACATATTTGTAAATTTTGTGGGTTGGCAAAAAAAAATAGGCATGAGGGTTCTGTAGTTTTGCTTATGGTGCCATTACTGCCTTCCCAAGTGTGTGTGTGCCACTGTTTGTTTAAAGGAATAGCTCTGCCAAACATGCTAACGTTGCTTGTGGTGATGTTAGTTTATGCAGTTTCATTCACTGGTAGCAGTTTTAGCATTTTGAGCTGAACTGTTCCTTTCAAGCCCTAGCCAGGATGGTCTTTCTTTACATTTCTCATAGATTAAGAGAAGCTGTGTTGTTTTACAGATTTCAGCATGCTCACTATTTATCTAGACGTTGAACTGGGGGGGGGTGGCGGCGGCGGCATATATAATGCCTTGCAAAAGTGTTCGACCCCCTTTCATTAGATTTGTCTGCAAATGACACTGTTTTGTGCTGTCATTTCATTTTAAAAGACTGACCCTCAAAATCAATTAAATGGTTTTATTAAGGAAATGTTTGACAAAACTTACTAACTGAAATGCTGTTTGCAAAAGTATTCAACCCCTGTGCTGTGGAAGCATCTAGTTATGAATCATTAAAGAAATTCATCTTTTCTAGATACAAGACCACCTTAATTAAAGTACCATTGGTCAGACTATGAAGCTGAAGGAAACCTGAAAATTAAGACTAAAATCCAAGTGTTTGGATATCCCAAAAAACATGTTGGATCAGTTGTGAGGAAATGAAAGCTGCATCATACCACCTCGGCAGTGCCTAGACAAGGCCACCCCTCAAACTCAGCATCAGAGCATGAAGGGAACTCTGAGGGAGGTCCCATAGACGCCAACCATCACTCTGAAGGAGCTACAGAGTTCAGTGGCTGAGTTTGGAGTGAAGGTGCACCACTCAATGAAGTTAAGAGCTCTGTGGCTAGAAAGAAGCCTTTACTAAAGAAAAAACACATCAAAGCACGTCTGGAGTTTAAAAAATAATACATTTTGACTTTGACGTACTATAAGAACATTTTAATAAAAATACATTCTGTCATTTGTAATCCAGACATATCTGATGACTTTTAAGGGCATTGAACACTTTTGCAAGGCACTGTATTTAACAGAAAATTACAGAAACCTCAACTAAACAACCCTTTGCCTTTATTACAGCTTCCATTCTTTTTCAGGTATATTTTTCCACTTCTCCAAAATTCAGTCTTAGAAGTTGGTTTAATTTTCTTCTGTGGGATCCAAGTAATCCCAAACAAATTCAGTGACGTTTTTCCACTTATTTTCTGTTGACTTTCCCATTTGTTATGCAAGTGCATTATTGTATATCTAATCTCCTTAAAGTATCTCCTGACAAATTAATGACATTTCCTTAAATGGTGTTCATTTGCACAGTGCTGTGGTTTGAGTAAGTTGACCCTGATCAGATTATTTGTAAATTAGCTATAATGACATCCTGACTGGGGCTTTCTTGTCATTTGCTTTGTAAGACCATTTATGTTGAGACCCTTATGACCGAGCAAGAACCACCTGGATAACCAGCCAAGGTGTAAAGCTATAGTTACTGCTCTTCTGTGAAATATAAGGCCTTCTGAGTGACCTTCTGTATGAAAATGCTTCTGTAACATTCTTTTACTCTTTAGCAAATCTCCTTAATATGTAGTAGAAAAGAAGTGTCTATACCCTTTACAGTTTTTATCATTTAAAGTCGTACCAATAATTGTAAAGCAATGGAGGGATGAGGAGGAGTGTAGAAACCAATGCTGAAGACGAGGGGAAAAAGTGATCCCAAGGATCCTGCTTTTTTGACACAAGCTTGTACTATTCTTTCTAATTGAAAGGGTTCACAAGCACAATTACCTTTACAAGCAAAGGAGTGAATCGGTTACACGTAGTATGGAAATGCTTAGATGTATATTGTATTATTGCATCGCACATAAAGTAGCAGTTACTACAGATTTCCCAGCCCGCAGTCATGCTGTAGTGTACGATTTTGACTTATGCAAAGTTCAACTAGTGTCCGAAACGATGGCTTCAAATATTTGAGGGGGTTGCAGTGATGTACCAGCGCATGCACTTCCTCATGAACAGAGACTTATTTTCTACGATTGTCAGAGCTGTAGCATTTTATGCACAAAGAAAAGGGTGGTTTAGACATTTCATATGTGCGAGTTCATTCAAATGTACATGACCATTTTTATTGTACAATGGGTATTGTACTGAATATACATGCAGCTTCATGTAAGATCCTTAAAGTAAGGAAACTCCTTTTTGTATTTTTTAATTTCGAAAGGCATGTCATATCTACTTTTTAAATGTATTAATGAAGATTTAACTTTACATCAAATGGAGTGTTTTTTTTTTTCTTACTATATTCTGTGTATGTACGTACGTTTAGTTAGCACAGTGTCACTAAACTGTTAGAAAAAGAATTCATAGCATGTAGAAACAAACAAAAAAGCTTGTTTTGTGGGAAAGTCCTTAATTAAATTTTAACCATGGCACTTTTTCTGCAGAAATGAAAACTGTTTCAGAGCTTTTTATTGCTACATTCAGTAGTTAGGTGGCTTGCATTTATCACACTGCATTGAATAATACATAACACACAAGGGGAATTCCACCAATTTTTCAAAATCTTTGCATAATTAAATGGTTATGACATAAACAAAGTCATTCAGAGTGATTTGATGTGAAATGTCCCATTCTAGAGAACCTTACCAAATTTAAGTCATTATGGAGATGTGGAAATGATGGACAGCTTTTGCCTACACTGATCAGTTACTAACAACAGAGTACCGTACGACACAGATCACACTTCTCTCAAAGCTGCACAATAAACAAGTGAGAGGGGGAAATATAGATGGCATTGAACTTAGGTGTTGGAGGAGACTTTGAGCATTCCTTGGGCAGCAAAGAAAACAAACAAATGGACCCTCGAACAAATCAAGCCTCATCTCTCACTCAACGTCCAGATGATCAAATGCAAGCTCTCTTATTTTGGATGTATTCTGAGAAGAACCAATATGGTGGAAAAGACAGTTAAGCTTGGAAGAGTTGTAGGGAAAAGAGGAGGAGGAAGACCAGCAACAAGATGTATGGATACAATCAGAGGAATCATAAACAAGCCATTAGGGAGCCTGAAGACCCAAACAGAATACAGGCTGTTCTGGAGAAGCACTATATGTGTGCCAGGAGTCCGAAACGACTGCACTTGATAATGATGATGATGATGATTCTCTTAAATTTAAGCACACATTGTGATACAAATGTTTGAAAGCAGTTGAAATGATTGCAGTCAACATAAAACTAGTTTTGTAGCAGATAAATGTACAAGAATGATTGTGTTTTGATACTACTCTACAACTTCATAGATTCCAACTAATTAGTTGTAACCTGTTAACAAAAGAAATGTTAAGAGGTGTCCAGGATGATAAACAGAGATGTAGATAATTCGATAATGA